AGTGCAGTTTATTGTTACAGTGATAGTTAACTTGAAGAACAGCTTAATGTTATCTTTCATTGGGTAATAATTTATATCAAGGACTACTACACACAGGACATGCATAGCCTATGTCCAGCCTCTGCTAGCAGAGGCGATCGCCTACACTATGAAAATGCTGTTGTTTTAGTGGCATCAACAAATGATATGCCCATAATTGTTTCATACAATAGTATTACAATGTGTGTAGTAGTCCTTGTAAAATTTTGAACTTCAAAACTGGCAAAAAGTCTATGGTTCTGACCAAGGACTACTACACACATTGTAATACTATTGTATGAAACAATTATGGGCATATCATTTGTTGATGCCACTAAAACAACAGCATTTTCATAGTGTAGGCGATCGCCTCTGCTAGCAGAGGCTGGACATAGGCTATGCATGTCCTGTGTGTAGTAGTCCTTGATTTATATGCTTTTTCAGCATGTGTGCTGGTATTTGAGAAGAAATTCACTATGGAACAAATTGATCTTCCAGACTAACCAAATATATGGGGGTTGTTGGTCCTCCTCTCTCTTTCTCCCTTTAAACTCAGCATAGTGAAGAAAGAAACTTAACTGTAAAAATGTCAGGTTTGATAGATAATGTTGGTTTGTTACCAATTTCTAACACCATGCCTTCTTGCTAATTTCAATCAGAATTTAAAACTGGTTATGGAATTTGAACCTCCAAAACCCTCAATTTCTGGAAATTTTAAACACTATGGTATGGTGTCCTGCTTTAGATCATGATGTCTATACATCTTTTGCAAATATTTCATGGTATGGTAATATCTTACAATTTTTTATGCTTGCTTCTTGTGGGGGTGTTTTTTCAACCTATGTCATAAATCCACATATTTTACTTTTTAAATTTGTTTTTACTTCTGGTATTATTGTAGTTAGTTAGAACCGTCAACCAGGGCTACTCGGGACAGTCCTCCAACACAGAATAAAACTTATAGTAGCAAAACTAATTAGAATATTGCAATACTAAATATAGTGGCGTAAACGTCAACATTTTTCCTATCTATGTAGTATAAAGGAAGTCGAAAAATACTACATTTACTAGCTTTGAAAAATTCGTGAAAAAAATGGTGAAAAACGCTGTTTTGAAAAGTTACTTCTGCTAAGGTCTGTAGCCAAAAAAATATTCGCCGTATTAAAAAATTTTACTTACATAAAAGATGCACCCAGGTGTCGGCTTGAAAACGTAAATGACAGAATTGTCCTATCTCATTCAAAAAAAAAAAAAATGGCGGCCATTTCCGCACGGCGGGGCTACTCGGGACACCCATCCGGGGCTATTCGGGACACCCCCAAAAATGCATTTACAGTAGAACCTCAGTAAGCAAAGGGTCCAGTTAAGAAAAAAATGGATTAAAAACAATGAATATTGATTACATTTAACTCGCTCGGCGAAAAAATTTCACTTATCGAAAAATTAGTGCATCATCGGTCGTCACAAAATTGTACATAGAATGCTATATATATATAATTGTGCACCGGGCATCATAGAATGAAAAGTAATTGACCTAAACTATGATTTATTTCTCCAAAATATATGATGGTTGTCACTAAAACATTCCTTTCTGTTTCAGGTATGTTTTCACGATCTTTTTTTTTTTAATAGTAAATTCACTTAACCCAATTAAAATGGTGTGAAATTACAAGCCGTCCTGCGAGCTTACAGATACAGAAAAAATGCTTTAAGGCTGCTGATATGAAGCTTGCAGTGGACAAGGTTGTTGTAAATGCTCAAGGGCATGTTCATGGATACGGTAATATCACATCGATAATACAGTAATACTGCATCAATAATATGGTACCGTCAACTGGGGTGACTTTGGCCGCGTTTTTTATTTTGTTTTGCAAACAAAAGCGGGGTCATAAACGATGGCCAAAGTCAATCCGGCGTTTATGACCTTGTTTACCACCCTGGCGTTTATGACCCCGGCGTTTACGACCCCGTTTTTGTTTGCAAAACAAAATAAAAAACGTGGCCGAAGTCACCCCAGTTGACGGTAATTAATGTTTATGGTAATATCATCAATAAAGAAAAAACAAGTAAAATCACTGAAAATGTCGTTTATTCTACCTCTACATCATCTACAATGAAAGAGGAGGACTTCAGAGTACTGTTAGTAATGGATGAGTACACTCAGCATGCTTCAAATATTTTAAAATTAAGTTTTATTGCAAGTGTCCTGAATAGCCCTGTTCGACGGGGCTACTCAGGACACTCTTTTTTTTGCTTCTGGCACCTTACGAATAGCATATGGAATTTTTTGACAATGCCATTCGATAGCCCCTGCAAAGAGCTATAAAATGAGCCTAAACTTGTTTATGAAATGTTTCATCATAAGAAGTTATTAACAAAAAAAAAAAACGCTCAAAACTGTCCCGAGTAGCCCCGGTTGATGGAAGCTGTTCTTTAATACAAGTTTCATTGAAGACCAGAGAGTATATCTTATTGATAATTTTTTATTTGTTTTTCTCTATTTAGGGAATCAAGGTTTTTGTGGGATTGGAAAGCTCATATACAAGGTTTCCGAGCGACATTTTATTAGAATTCATGACGTTTCGAATATGCAATATTCAACATCAAGTAGATGAAGAGTTATATACAGCCCTTGAAATTGAAGTATGGAACTGATACAAGTTTACATATAAAGGGGATGGTATCTTAGATAGGGTTCAAAATCAAAACTTAATTTTATAACAGGAGACTCATCCTTGATGATGAGCTATTGCCTGTCTCGTAGTGTTGGGGCACTGCATAACGATGCTGGTGCAGGCCTCCAACGTGGCTCGGGTGATGGTCTTGTTGTAAGCCTCCTGTATAGGATTCTTTGGTCCTCCAGCTTGCAGATGGCATGTGAGTCTGCGGCTCAATGTCGTGCTGGTCAAACCAATTTAATTTACATTTTTGAGAAGCCTAAAACCTTCTTGCAAGCAGGGAAATTTGTAAACAACATTGGTTTCTTATGACAGTCAAGACTTTTTACATGGATTATTTTTCATGATTAAATTCTTGATCTTTTTGTTTCTGTAGTAGGTAAATCAAGAGTTTGATTTGTTCAGTTGCTATTGTGCAGCTGATCTTCTTTTGCACAATTGAATTGAGGACTTGTTCGTCAGTCCTATAACCGCCGTTCATTTGATTTTGATAGTAAATTCTGGTAACACTATTGTTTGATGCAAATGCTAAAAATGTTTGGTTTTGGACTGCTAAAAAATTTGAAATTTGGTGTTGATTGTTTTGTTTACATCTAGTAGCGGATGTTCAGTAACATATTGGAGAAAAACTCAGTAATGAGGAACTAACATCAAAATTAATTTACTTACTTTTTTACTGGCACCTTGTACAACCCGTGAGGATACTTTTATAAAGTACTTCAATGAGGTATTCAAATATCCAAGATGACCCACACATTTAATCACTTTAACTTCCTGTTTAACAGTTAGTTGTCCCTGTTGCTATGAAGAGACAACTCTATTTTTTTCATACAATTGTTGTGCATAGGCTCAGTTAGGCTGATATTATTCATATAATCTAATTTTGTTTTGTTGAACAAGATAAAGGTATTGAATGAGAAGAGAGTTTGGGCAGGGCAGTTGTGGGGTCAAGTTGTTGTGTAGGCTGGGCAGTTGTGGGGTCAAGTTGTTGTGTTGGCAGGGCAGTTGTGGGGTCAAGTTGTTGTGTTGGCAGGGCAGTTGTGGTGTCAAGTTGTTGTGTAGGCAGGGCAGTTGTGGGGTCAAGTTGTTGTGTAGGCAGGGCAGTTGTGGGGTCAAGTTGTTGTGTAGGCAGGGCAGTTGTGGGGTCAAGTTGTTGTGTAGGCAGGGCAGTTGTGGGGTCAAGTTGTTGTGTAGGCAGATTTTATTGCCCTTAACACAGTACGTACATACGGTACAGTACCTATTTCGATGCTTCTGGTAATTTATACGTTTACTTTATTTGTATCCTATTTTACGCACTAATTGGTCCTGTATTTGGCAATAACATTTGGATTTTCATAGCAGATAGATCGTGACTCCATTTCGTGTTTCGATTTTTTTCCATTTTTTGACAATATGGATTTTGTATGCTAGTACTGATTCATTATATAGATTTCTGATAATCAGAACAGTTGAATAAGAGGAACTTGAATGGACCGAAGTTCTTTCGCCTTTCTACTTTCATTTCTTCTTAGCCGAACTATCGATACGGTATGCATCTCATTTTAAGCTTTAAAGCCGATTTCTAACAATATCTTGTATAAAAAAAAACTTGGGAATTAATTTTCCTTAGATTCTCAGCTAAAACAATTAACTGCATCCGTCTGATGAATGCTTTAAACTCTTTTTTTTTTCGTAAACTCGTGTTTTACGTAAGCACAGAAAATAATTTCTGAGATCATTTGTTCTTTAGCATGATTTCATGTTGGCATTTACTAAAACTTTTATCGTAGCGTTTCACAGATTTGAAATTAATGCAAATAATTAGATAAACTGAGACTTGATTTGTATTCAAAAGCAGTCTAGTGGGATTGCATGCAGTCCCCTGTATCCATATTGATTTTGCCCGGCTATGTAGAACTCATTTCGCGATTGATATGTTCTTTCAAGCAGCTTATTCTGATGCGAGGCTGGTACGTGTTGTTTGTTCTGATATGCATTCATTTTTTTATCACAGAAAGTAAAGTAATCTGTCGCTATTTGAACAGAAGGTGATTACAAAGTAATCTGTCGCTATTTGAGTTTCCAATTTCACAATTTTTTTTATTTCATCTAGTTTTTATGGAACTTAAGATTTTCTGCACTTGCGTTTACAGTAAAGATCATGTTGGAAATGAATTACAAACTTGGTGATAATATTAATTGATTAATGCACGTTTGCACTTCACTTTGAGAACTATTTACCAACGGCTGATCTTTCATTTTGCTTACTTTATGTAGTCTACAGAGGTCATTATATCTTTTCAAAGGGTTGAGGAAAAATCATTTTTGAATGCCTGTATTTTATTAAATTTTCCTCTGCCTCGGCTACTGTCAATACAGTGATAAAATTTTCGCACTGATTGAAGTTCCGGAGACAATCTGATCAATTCATCAAACCGTTTTGTAGCAAAAAGGGACTCCAATTCCCAACTTGATCATTCTAACGGTGGAAGTTTTGCCCATGAACTCCACAAGAAAATGTCAACCAATTTTTTCTATTGTATAATACGATGAAAAAACTAGCCTCATTACTCATTCGCTATGGAGTCAGAGCACAAGTTTCCATCTAGAAATATCCTGATGGAAGATATTGTCCCAAAAATTGCCTCATTAATGGTCGTGGTGGAAGATCTTGACGGTCTCCCACTTGATGTTCGGCTGCCTGAAAGTCCTGTCGTCAGGAACCCTCCTGTCGAATGGATATCCCATGGCGCGCTTATCGGGATATTCTTGTCCCTTGATGCCGCAATATCCGTAGCTGCCACCGTGGTCGTTGGACACGAGATCGCTGTGCACGGCATCATCTCCGGACGTGATGCTCACGAAGAGCTCAACTTCCAAGCCCTCCTCATTGCCCTTAGGCAGCAGGAGACGCTGGGGCAGACCACAGGCGCGGGCGTTGTGCTTCTCTAGGGCAGAGCCAGACTTTACTGCTTCGTCGGCTTCGTCGATCAGAGTCTGGAAGTGCGTGCGGTCGGGGATTGTGACGGAAGATTCCGAGGCCTTGCGCGTGATCGTGTTCTTGCCGGCAGACACTGGGTAGAGAATTGTATAACATGTCATTAAAGTGCCTGTATTGCACAATATGGTACTTTTGAATTAGCCGGGATTGCATTTTTTGACATAAATGTTAATTTTGTTCAAGACACTGATGGATTAGAGTTAGTACTTTTGATTCATGAAGGTAATATCAAAAACGAAATGTAACTTCATATTTCCAAGATGGTTGTAATTTCTAATGACCACTTTGTTTTGACTTATTTAAGATCACGAAGCAATTTCTTTGAGAGTTATTCGAGCATTTACATTTGAAGCTAAAACAAAAAGAATGTTCAGGAAACTTAAAAATAACGATCGTAAAATTTGTTAAAGCCACTACGAGCAGTTGTAAAACGTTTGTGATAACTGTTTCTTTTAGGTCTACCTTCAGTAATTTGGTAATGCTCAAGTTAATGTATATTGAATGTTACTTATTGTATTTATTGGTTCCGTCCCACATGTTTTCCAAGTGGAACGTGATGGTTGATTTGTCAAGCTGGTGAAATTTTTGATATGTGATGGCTAGTGCTGCAAGATTAGTTACTGAAGAATTACTGAAGAATAGAATAAATTACTGAAGAATTACTGAAGAATAGAATAAGCTGAATGAGTAAAGAAAGATCTTGTAAGTGTACAAAAATACAGGTGAGATTAAGGTTAAAGTAATACCTCATAAAATCTCAGAGATTGTGAAATAAGTTGTGTATTACGTCTTGAAATCTGTAAGTAAAACCATTGTTAATGAATTTTAGAAATCGATCGTGAATCGAAGAAAATTATGAGTACAGTATATGCCAGTATCTTTTTTAGTTGAATACTTACGACTAGTCCAGAATTTGTCGACTTGGATGCAGCCCCATCGAGCCTCGTCGAGGGTATACTCGATGCCGTTCGAGTCCAACTTGGGGCACAGGAAGATGCGTACGGTTGCCACCTCATCAGCGTTAGCCGTGACTCCGATGTTGTAGGAGAAGTCCTTGTGGTTGAGGCGAGACACGTAGGTGGTGATGTCAACATCGTCGATGCTTTCAGTATCGTCAATGGCGTTGATCAAGTTGAATTCGTAGTCTTCGAAGAAGGTAGAGAGCTCACCGTCGATTGAGAGGTCGGTGATTTGGGCGTTGGCGTATCCAAGGTCCTCGGCGGTGTATGGAGCAAGCGTGTTCTTGTAATCCTTGAAGATGTTGTTCATGTACTTGTGCAGACGGAAGAAAGAGGGATCTCGGGTAGCAGTTTCGAAGTGCTCCATGACACCGGGGGGGAGGTTGAATTTACCGTGAGGATCAGCCTGTCGCCCCAGCATTATGTGGGCGACGTTATGGAGAGAACCGTAGTACTGAGGGTTGGGGCTGTAGGTCGACGATTCAATAATGTTCCCCAGGATGTCGATGCCGTGTTCCTCGTCCAGTGCAATATGATTTCCCTGAGCATCTTCGATGTATCCGTGATCGATGGCGTCGTGAATGCGGGATTCCAAGATCTTCATGTCACGAATGCGAGCGATTCCATCAACGTCTTCGAAGATCTTGTTGTCGGGACGAGACGGGAACTCTCCACCGTACCTGTATGTCGTATGGGGAGCAAAACCCTCATAGATAGGACGGTCCCAGTAAAGTTCATCCACCATGGGCATGTGGTTGGACAATCGCTCAGCATCGAATCTGGCGGTCAGCTGGTGATGAGCCCAGAAGAAAAGTTCTCCTTTCCTGTCAATCTTGTGTCCGTCCCACCAGAAGGGGAAATCCATATGCCAGTGAACGTGGTGGGAGTTCATGCCAACATCCTCTCCGAAGTAAGCGACCCTTTGTTCCGGGTTTTGCTGGGATCCAGTGAAGCTCATCTTGAACTTGCCAGGAGTCTGGGTCATCTTAGCGCCGTATGCCTTGTTGATGATCTCGGAGTTGGTGAAGAGGTGAGGGGTGACCTCATAGAGGGGAGGCAGCACAATATCAGACGTGAGCTCGGAGTGAGTGACGGCCACGTACAAAGCGTAGACAAATTCTCCCTCGTTAACCCTCTCTCGGAAATACGCAGCGCTGTTCTTGAAAGTTTCGAAGTCCTTGCTGTTGAGGAGGACATGGACAAGCATGATGGCCTCTTCTCGCTGGCGGGTATTGAAGAGAGAGAAGATTTTCTTCTGCTCCAAGACTCGGTGAGACTCGATCTCTTTCAAGAGAGTTTCAGCAGCCGCGCCTTCATCTGTGTAGCTGCTCTTGTGCTCACGTGGGTCCCAGGAATCAGCGGCTTGGCGCAGATCCGTAAAGTAACTCCTGATGGGCTCAGTAACTTTGAGCAGGAGTCTGTTCACGGCCTGCTGCTGCACGGCGAGATCGTCGGCAGCTGCCAATCCTACCAACACTGAGAGGACCAAGAGAAGCTTCATGTTTGCGCTAATAGGAGTCTCGACGGTGAGCTGAACTTTCTCCACTCCGCCAGTCTTTTATACTAGTCTTGACAAGTGGGCTGACAAGCGCACTTCAACCTTATCTCCTCTTGTTGACCTCGTCATCCCACTGTGGTAGCAACTGAGGTAACTTTTACTTGTTCATCTCTATGATTTATATAAATTATGTGCGACAATAATAGTTTTTCACTGAAATTTTAGCTAGTCTTTTAAGTTTTGTCTTGACCATTTGTACTGGTTCACTTGGCGAGACATAGTTGTTACTGAAACATTTCGTGGAAATTTTGCAACGTTCTCGGTTGCTGACAGTCACTGCTGGTTTCACTTTTTTGGCTACCTCTGATGTTAGTTCATCCGTGAAACCAAGAGTGAGATTCGTTTTACTTTCGATTTTGCTTTGCAAGACCATACTGTGGAGCGACGTGTTTATGTTGATGCAGCAAATTCTAATTTTTTTAGTTAAATTAAGTTTGCACAATTTATGTTAGTGATGTGCAACCATCACCGTCATAACCGTAATGGTGATAATTTTTTCACTTATATCTCTACCTAAAAAATACTTGCACCCTCTTTGTTGATCGTACCTCTTTCAAATTTGGGATTTCTTTCTGATCGAGTTTGTGGGTCTCGCCTTTTCAGCATTCTACACGATCATTTCTTTTTCGATTCCTCAATCCTAAAAGTCGTCAAGATTTGTTTGTTATAACAGTCCTTGAATGATTGCGATGCAGGTTTTAAATTCCTTATTTTAGTGACTCGCTTTGTGAGCCCCGAATACGGAATAGCGTTTCTTATGAGAATCACTTAATTTGTAATATGAACTAAATTTAAAATCTCACCTTGTAGCTTCAAGAACCTCACAAAAAATGATCAAGTTGGTTACTACACAATTAATTTACGATTTATATTTTTCGTATTTTTTGACAATTTTGTTCTCATACTTGTACTTTAATCATCATTCCAATCAGAATTAGATAAAAGTTTAACCTTAATACCGTTTTCGATGGGCTGCTCCAGTATTTCTTCTCTCTCGTTTCATATACTGATTCTATTCAGTATTGCTGTTAGATAATTTACTGCTTAATCCTAATATCGTTTTCGATGGGTTGCTCCTGTATTTATTCTCTCTCGTTTCATATGCTCGTTTTATTCAGTATTGTTTTAGATAATTTACTGCTAAATCTTAATATCGTCTTCGATGGGTTGCTCGTATATTTCAGACGTGCACAATACCCTCGATCAACCGATAAGCCACCCTTCACGGCTTCCACCTACCCCTATACGTATCATTACTTTTTATGCCTCAAGAATGCCACTTCAGGTATATCACATATAGTGTCCCGACTCCTCAAGTGTCTTGATTAAAACACCAGGCCATGCTAACGATCACGTAGTCTGATTTTCGCTAGCTTTAGCAACAAGAAACTCTCGGCGCTCAAGTATATGATTATTGCGTCGTTGAGGCATAGATGGTTTGCTCATTTAAGAAAACCTTGGGACGGCTACAAGTTACTGATCGTGCCGTGAACAAAAACCATTATTATAGAAAAAAGTATTGAGAATTTTTCATGGTATCGCTTATTGCATACGGCATTGATCTCAGGCATAATTCATTGTAAACGGTAATATTTCGTGGAGTATTGCACTTTATTACAGACATTTTTCAAAATAGTCAATAGTAATTTCGCTCAACATCGAGGATCACATCAGTATATTATACATAACTCAGTATAGGCACGTTTCAGTAGCATGTACATAAAATTGCAATTGTTTTAATAACCGTACAAATTTTTTCGTTCTGATGTTCGCTGTATTCCTTTTCCGTTTATGATACGAGTATTTTAGCTTTTCATTCCCTCATTTGAGTTCTTGTTCCACTGCTCGGTTTTCTTCATGCATTTTGAGTCGGATTAGAACTTTTGATCAGATAGACGTGTTTTTTGACGTCGCTGATATTCCTGACTTACTACTCTTTATTGCTGAATAATCATCGAGGACTTGTACCTAATAATATAATTAATAAATAAATGAAAATATGGCGTCAAATATAACCGAACCTTTTCACTTCAAATGATAAAAGCATCGTTAATTGTAAGGTTGATTTTCTAGAAGCTCGACAATTTTTCACTTTGGTATAGCCACCGCGTGTTGCTTAGTAGTCATGCATAATTCAGAGTATCAAGAACGAAGCGGTGAGTTGCGGGATCAAGCCTCTGCTAGCTGTGAGAATTCTGCGATACCTCGAGTCGGCGACAGTCCTGATTCGGCTTGATCAACGCTGATACTACTGTTACCAAACAGTCAAGAGTTTTTTATTAATTATCCCAATGTCTTCGAAATTCTTGACATGATACGCATAAGTCATTGTTATGTAGCTACTTTAATCAAATGTATGGGTGTAAAAAATTGAAGCAAGATCGAAACGTTTACTTAAACATCAATTGCTGAGGTACGCAAATTTAATAGTAACATTCAATGGCATATGCAAATCGGGTGACTTTTGTGCGTTTGTCGCAGAGGCACAAAAATGATCTATTAGAGAACAGTTTCTCTCTCAAAGATGGTCTAATTTTATCCTGACAGTTCTACTGCGATTCGCGTAAATGTTGCAATAAGATTGAAAAAACATTGTGCTCTACATACATTAGGACGTCTTGGCTGCGTTATTTTCTATCAGTTTCTATAAATTTTCTAGGGAGATTAAATATAGTAGGTATTTGTGAACAGTGAGAATTTCTGAGGTAACTTCAACTACTATTTATTATGGATCTTTCGAGATTATTTATTATTAATCAAAGCATTTGATTGGTGTTTAAAAGAACTTAAGACCGCGGGGTAATTGCAACATCTAACTTGTAACCCTACATGCTAATACATTCGTCCACCACAAAAATTCTCAAATTAATATTAATTCGCACTTGTTCTTCATTCAAACTACTGCCATTGTTTTCTCATTGCACTAGAGTTCTACACCACGTAGGGGCAAAAAAAAGATAAGGGTACCTAAAATCTAAACCTATAATTTTCATGAATATTACTTCAACAGTAATACGTTAGCGTTCGAATTCTCATGCAGCACATCAAAACACAAGAATCCTTTTCTCGACAGGCTTGCGGCAAATCGGACATTCGACCATCCTGTCCCCGCACATCTGACACGTGCCGTGGCCGCACAAGAAGATCATGTTCTTCAGACGATCCAGGCAGACCGGGCACATGGTCTGCAATGTGACAAACAGACGACAATAAGTTACACTGCTCCATAAATACGGATCCCGCCCAATGTTAGGTAAGTAAATCAATGAGAGAGAGGAGTAGAAAGAAAAGTAGGAGGAAAAGAAAAGTAGTAGAAATGAGTAGAAGGAAAAGTAGGGACAAGAGTAAGTGCTGGGATCACGCCTAATGGCAGGTAAATGAATGAGAAAAAGTAGAGTAGAGGGAAAGTAAGGAGGACTAAAGTGAGGATCTGAGTTATGAGATGGGCTGAGGATGGAGAGATAATGAGGGAAATGGTGATGCGGGATGGGGGTTCAGGCTGGGGAGCGGGATTGCGGGATAGAGGTAGGCTGTTCGCGGGATAGAGGTAGGCTGGTTGCGGGATAAAGGTAGGCTGGGGAGCAGGGTTGGGGCATAGAGGTAGGCTGGGGAGCAGGGTTGCGGCATAGAGGTAGTCTGGGGAGCAGGGTTGCGACATAGAGGTATTCTGGTTGCGGGATAGAGGTAGGCAGGTGGTTGCGGCATAGAGGTAGGCTGGTCGCGGGATAGAGGTAGGCTGGTTGCGGGATAAAGGTAGGCTGGTTGCGGGATAAAGGTAGGCTGGGGAGCAGGGTTGGGGCATAGAGGTAGGCTGGGGAGCAGGGTTGCGGCATAAAGGTAGGCTGGGAAGCAGGGTCGCGGGATAAAGATCTGCTGGTAGCAGGGTTGCGGGATAACGGTAGGCTGGTAGCAGGGTTGCGGGATAGAGGTAGGATGGGGAGCAGAGGGTTGCGGGATAGAGGTAGGCTGGGAAGTAGGGTTGCGGGATAAAGGTATGCTGGTAGCAGGGTTGCGGGATAAAGGTAGGCTGGTGGGAGCGGGATAATGGTAAGGTGGGAAGGTGGATTACGGGATAATAGGGGCAGGATGGGGAGCTGGACTAAGGGATAATAGGGCAGGATGGGGAGCTGGACTAAGGGATAATAGGGTCCTGCCCCTATTATACCGTAATCCAGCTCCCCATCCTGCCCCTATTATCCCGTAGTCCAGCCCCCACCCTGCCCCTATTATCCCGTAGTCCAGCTCCCCACCCTGCCCCTATTATCCCGTAGTCCAGCTCCCCAAATAGCGGCAGGGTGGGGAGTTAGTAGACTACGCCTAACGTAAGCCGGAGGAAGGAATTAGTTTGTTTGTGTATGGGTTGGAGGATGTAATTGTTGAAAAAGAATCAAGGCATTTTGTCATCGTTTAGTTGTTTAACGCCTGCCGGGAGAAAAATCGTTTAGCACAGAGATGATATTGATGTTCAATCATGTTGCTGAGGCATGATGCGGCTGGTTACTAGCTCGACCATGAGAGGTACTATAGGATATGAAGTTGGGAGAAATTTGTTTAATGAGAGACGGTGAGCCTGCTATTCAAAATGTTTAAAAATTATGTTGGATATAATTGAGCGTAAAAGCCTTCTAGACAATATTCGTTAAGCAGATAAATTAAGATAACAGCAGGTCAGAAGCTTAACTGTGTGTGTTATCGCTAGACAATGGCAACAATCCTTTTGAGTGAAATTGTATGCAGATAATTTTTGCGCTGTAATTATATTTGTATAATTATAACTGAACATAATAAACGAAACGTTCCATGTGAAGAAACATGATAAGCGTCAAGGAAAAATGTGTAAATTATTATATGATAAAATAATTGTAAATTAAATCATAATTTCTACTTCTAAGTTCTTATCCTTTTATATTTCGGCATTAGTTACGAAGATTCTACAGCCAATTCATCTGTTGAGGCAAGAAAGTTCACTCCATAGTAACAAGCCTCACTTGCGAACCTATGATCAACCGTGCAATTAATTAAATAAGAAAGATTTAGATGAGGAAGAATAGTCAATATGCAGTCCAAGTTAAGATATTTATCTTAACTTGGACTAGAACCGGTGTCTTTCATTGTATAATCCTGTTATACGGCAGATTTTTATTAATAAAATACGTAGTGCCTTGTAATCATTTTGAAATTTTCTTGGAATTTTTTTTTTTTTTGCTGAAATGAGTGCCGAATTTTTTCTCTGTGCGAGACAATATAATTGATCGTCAGATTGCTGGATTCACTGTACCTGAAGGTCTAGAAGTTGAAAGTACAGCTGAAGTATCTGATAATCAACTGTACAACTGAAGTATCTAGAGATATTCATCAGGGACTCTGACAAGATATCTAAGCAGGACCTCAGTGACCTTCAGATTGGAGGAAACTATCTTTCAATATTCTATGTGAAGGTAGAAAGTTATTTGAAAGGCACCGGTTCTGTTGCTGGTTAATGTTTTCAAAGGGCACATCGGGTATTCTTCCTTGACAAAAATTTGTCCTGTATTACAAATATCCATAGTTGATCGTTGGTCCTCAAGAGAGGCTGGGTTTAGTTGTGGTATACCTTCTTGTCTCCACAGGTAAAAAATTCTTTAGCCTAACCATTTATAATACCAGATAGCAACGGTTAATTTAGAATCTTGCTTGAAATTATAATAGTTTTAATTGAACGCGGTCACATATTTTGTTACTTTTTTCCTCAGCAATGTCTTGTCTTTTATTTAATATTTTGTATTTTTCATATCTTTCAAATATATTTTCATCATATTTTTGCCACTCAAGGGATCGTCATAATTTCCCAGAGATAGAACAGAGCTTCTGACCTACTAGGGTTCCAATTTACTTATTTGATTAATATTGTCTAGATATCATTTACGCTCGATTAGAACATATTTATAAACATCTTAGATTGCAGCCTCACCGTCTCGCATTAAACAGCTTACTCTCAACATCATAACCTATACTCCTCCAGGTCGTGCTAGAAGCCAGCCGCATCAGGTTTTCGCAACATGATTGAACATCAATATCATCTCTATCCTAAACGAAATATCAATCGTTAAACAAATAAAATAAAAACAATAAATATATAAATATAAAAACAATAAATAAAATAAAAAACAAATAAAATAAAATAAAAACATACGTTAAACAAATAAAAGATGACATAAGTGCGTTAAATACCTTTTCAAGATACGTGCAATACAATCAGCAAGAGCCACCTACCCCAACACACACCCAACCGCACCTTCCTCCGGCCAACCTAGGCCTTATAGAAGGGGAGGGAGGAAACTCGGGGCGGGTAATATGCAACATCGTAAAGACTAATTCTTCTTGTTTTGTATCTTGTTTACTATCATGATATATTAAATGTTTTTTTTTGGGAGCTGCACATCCATAATCTAGGTTAAATTTTAAAATGAAACTGTGTGTGATTTTTTTTACACTTTAGGCTAACTTTGAAAATGATTCGTTTGGAAATTTTTTAAAGCTAATAGGTACGCATTTGACCCGCTGTCCCCTCCCCCCTCTCTTCTATCGTACTTCTATAGGATATAATGAAACTTACCTGTTCCTTGATGTCTTGCAGCTGCTGCTGCAGTTTCTGCAGGTCTGCTGTGGACATGTCACCGCCCGACATGTCTCTGGATCCGTTATTCATCAAGGCCCCGCCTGTGGCTCCTGCTGCCTGGGCCACACAACTGTTACCGCCGGTGTTGCTGCTGAAGTTGCTGGCTAATCCGCCGAAATTATTTCCCAGAGTAAAGTTCACACTCGGGTTCTGAATGTTGCTGGTCGCCGGCAAAGCTCCAAGGCTGTTCGCTATCAAGTTATTGCCAGTTGTGGCCAGGATGGAAGGATTGGACGTGGTGGCAGAAGCGTTGTTTATCGTAGCCGCGCTTCCTCCGACGCCTATTGCGGTTGCCGACGATCCACTAGCGATGTTAGCGACAAGGTTCGCGTGGCTATGAGGCGACAATGATGATGATGATGATGATGTCACCAGCCCGGCCGCGGCGGCCAAGAAGTTTGCTGGCGATGTCCCTCGGGTCGCCAGAGATGTGGACGACAAGAATATGTTGGGGCTGTGGCTGCTGCACGACGCGCTTGCGGACGCCATTGCAGCATCCGCGTTGTTCTTTCCTGAATAAACAATAAAATAGGTGTTCGCCATGTATTTTCCTTTTTGTTTAAAGTAAATAATTTATAATCGGTAGGAGGTATGCTAAGCAACATTATATACAAAAAAGTGCTGCTCTAATTACTGAGTGAGATTAGATGAATTAAAAACGATAGGCATCAAGCTTCAAAAATTTACGAACTACCTTAACCCTCTGAGAAAGGGTTAAAAAAGGTGGGCGAAAATACCAAGTGCTTAGTTTCCCATGTGTGTCCCTTTTGTGGTACGGTACGTACTTAGTTCAATTCGAAAGTAAGCCTACACATCATTTTGACCGGTCTAAAACTGAACATCTGTTCAGCAGGCAATGCCCTTATGATAACGACAAAAATTATTTTAATTTATGTACCTTGTCCTCCGCAGCAGACGATGAACGGAACCGTTTTCTCGATGACGTTGCGACATTGCACGCATTTCTTCATGAGCGTCGCGCAGTTCGTGCACGCGCACATATGGCCACATGGAACGAACAGCACGCAGGCCTGCTTGTCCGAGCACACCACGCATTCCTCGATCTGCCAGCGCCAGGATAGGGAAGGAACTTCGATCAGAAACAATATATAAACTTTGACGAGAATAGATGTGGACAAGTATAAGTTAAAGCTTTATGCCGCACGTTCAAGTTTCTTCAGACTTATTTTTGCTGACCTTGGGCTAGGTGGCGACAGGTTCCTTGCACATGAGGCATTTCACACCCACCTTGGTCCTGGTAGCGACAGGTTCCTTGCACACGAGGCATTCCACACCCACCTTGGTCCTGGTAGCGACAGGTTCCTTGCACATGAGGCATTCCACACCCACCTTGGTCCTGGTAGCGACAGGTTCCTTGCACATGAGGCACTTCTTGACTCGGGGAGCACACACGCTGCAGGTGGCGACGTGCCCGCACGGCCCGAAGAGAACGTCGCGTTTCATGTCCGAGCAAACCATGCACTCATCGAGGGTCTCCTCACACACTTCCTCCTCCTCCAGCTGGTCCAGAGGTCCTCCCATGCTGTAGGGGGACATAAATAGAAGATCATTATTTCAATGCAAAGCGTTAGAACTCGGCTAGTTTTAAGCTGCTACTGCAACTTTTTTATTATTACAATTTAGGACATTAGACCTACCTCAGCCGGTGAAAGAGATTTCCTGACCTAAGCTACAAGGAGGGATGAATTGAAGTTCATTATTTGAATTTCTGTAATTAGAACTCCAACTTGTATAAGTGAGCTCTCATGCAGCCAATGAAGATGACAATAGGGTTGGGCAGTGTTAAGGCATAAATCACGATGATGGAACTCGAGTATTCATGATGCAATGCCGACATGAATTGTAGTCTAAATCAGTCGAGCTATTGTGGATAATTTACCATCGATTGACATTGCTGCGACCAAAGAAAAGGCTAGTTTCACAGTAGAGAAGTGCATAACGATACTTATCGTGAAAACAGGGATTTCACGATAAACCTGAAATTTTATTTCTAGTGTAGGAAAGGATTGGAGGAAAAGGATGGAATTTTATCAAAAATTACAAATTTGGCATTGCAATGGGTGAGTAGTAGTCGAATGCTTTGCTAGCGCTTCAGCTATTTCGTACCGAAGGTCGCAAATAAACATCGGCAGAAAAACGGAAGGTCTTCATTATTGGAAATTTCTCAGATCGCTCATCACCTACAAGGGGCGGGAGATATAAAGTGGCCAGGTCGCTGAAGCTGGCAATAAAGAAGAAGAGTTAGTATCTCAAAAAGACGAATTGACAAGGAGGGACAGGTGACAAGGAAGGGCAAATGACAAGTAAGAGCAAGTGACAAGGAAGGGCAAGTGACAAGGAGGGACAGGTGAAAAGCAACAGAAACGAAGACACTTGAAAAAGAGGTCGCTTACACGGGACGTCGGCCGCCCGCACGAGATACGAGATAGAAAGATAAGTGAAATGTAAAGAATTACACTTACTAAGTTGATCCTACAACTGCCCTGCCTACACAACTTACTGACTCCCTCAGAATGAATCTATTCTTTAAAACTAAAAGGAATAAGTCTCAAAGATGAAGTAAATTAATGAGAAAAATTTCAAGCATTAAACGTCCGAGTTCGTGTTTGACAGCGGAATGAAGATGGTCAGATTTTTTAAACGACATACGGAAAATATATGGATAATGCAGACCTAATATAAGCAATAGAATTCAGGGATATTGAAAAAGTAAATTATGCTGATATCTTGATCAAAATTATTTTAAGAAATTAAACAGTTTCTGGAAACCAACTTCAAGATAATAAATAGGCAGAATAAGGCAAATAATTTTCGTGGGAGTCTATACGAGATTTCAAAACCTGTTAACGAATTACACAAAAGCACGATTATTGAATAATAATAATAATATATATAATAATATATATAATAATATAATAATAGAAAATAATGAAGCCACTCACACTGACTTATCCTTGAGGCATTTAGACAGCGTCTTGCAGAGGTTGGGGTCTGGGCAGAGGTCGAGGGGCGTCTGGCCTGCAATTCAATTGATGCATCAGCTACAAATTCTAATATTATTAGGTCATTTACAATTCTAGTAAAGCTATTCAAAATGGAGAGATTAGGCAGGACAATGGAAGTTTATATTAGGTCAATTGAGAATTTGCATGCAATATCAATTACCATTTACATGTATAAAGTCAGTAGGTCATTTAATGTTCTCCTAAATTTATTTAAAATACATGTAGAGACATATCACAGGATGATGGAAGTTAATATTAGTTCAATTGCGATTTGGCCTACAATATCAATTACAATTTATAAATTCCTCCTAAAGTCTCCTAAATTTATTTAAAATAGAGACATATATCACAGGAAAATGAAAGTTAATATTAGTTCCATTGCGAATTTGCCTGCAACATCAATAACAATATAGAAAGTCAGTTTGCCATTTAATGTTATAAATTCATTTAAAATAGTGACATATAGCACAGGATAATGATAGGTTATATTATTTTAGTTAACAAGAAACGCGCCTTTTTTATTCTTGATGTGAAGATCAGCGCCGTGCGCGGCAAGCAGACAAGCGATCGACGCAGGACTCTTCTTGTCAACTCCATGCGTGCCGAGACCGATTCATTGCCCATGTCTATTAAAATAATGCAGAACGAATCAATATTGCACGAAATTACTTCAGGCTGAATGACTGCATGGTGAAGTTAGTTACACTTTTTGACAGGCCCATAATACACGTTTTGGTATGCCCCTGGGTACGGTCAGGTATTTCCATTTAATAATATGCGTTTGAAAATTGTTCGTTAAAAACAACACTCCTAAAGAATCCTATGTCTGTGATGTTACACATGTACGATGAATTTCTAATTTTATTTCAAATAGTAAATAATTTTATTGAATTTTTTTTCAAGTTACATTATTTAAAAAAGTTACATGAATCCAGTGTCTGCGATGTTACACATGTACGATTAATTTCTAATTTTATTTCATATATTAAAAAATGTTATTGAATTTTTTTTAAAAGATACATTTTCAAAATTAATAATTCTGTCAATTGATTCGTGCATTGTCTCCGACTTTACGCAAGTGCAGACAGAAAATTTGCAGCAGACAAACCAACAAGAAGTGAAGTTAAAGAGAAGTGTTGTATAAAAGGTTATAATTATGGATTTTATGAAGCGTTAAGTGAGCAAATTATTTATATCACAACCACAAAAACCATCAGGTGATGCCAAAAATATTACATTTGCCAAAAGATTGCATTTTCGGGTAAAAGNAGGTAATGCCAAAAATATTACATTTGCCGAAGGATTGCATTTTCGGGTAAAAGTTATTGACTAATAGGGCTACATTTGTGAGTGCTAGAATTAAAATGGAAACTACCATAAAATAATACATATTTTTGATAGAGAGTGAAAAATATACAAATAATTTCAATTTGATTCTTGAACGAAAAAGATTTCAACTTTTTCATAACCCAAGGATTCAATTCTAATGACAAATTATCGTTTATTATTAACTAATTAATTGCCTGTTAACTAAGAGTATTACCAGATTACGTAATTAACGCCCGGTGAAATATTACTCAGTCTTTAAGAGCATCAAAAATTATTAACTCTTATAAATTCGACGACTGCTGTATAGGTGATCAGAACTATCAATGTTACCATCGAATTTCAATACCCAATGATCAGGATTTAAAATTACCTTCACACGGAATTTAAAAGAACATTTTAAGGGTCGTATCATAGAAAAGGGACCACAGCTGTATAACAACTTGATAAGAGAACCTAATATTAGAAGACACAAAATAACCAAAAAAAAAAAATCATGTCATATGCGGCCACAACAATACTCAATTTAAAAGGAAGTTAAAACGAGGAGTAAAGTCAATGAACATACGAAGAATGGCTCGGTTCTAAGGCTCTTTGTCAGTTTTCTCAAATTTAGAAGTGAAATCGCCGTAGAGATAAAAAGTGTCAAGTCTCATGTGTTTTGTAGTAATGACTAGTTTTTCTATTCACGTCAGTCAAGTCTGAATTCAGGAATTCTGATGTCAAGCGTTTAGAGAGAAAAATTTTTGAACAACGCGATTATTTAAACAAAAATTGAATTTCTGATGCGGTTTTATACAGTAAACTCAAATTATAAATTACATCACGATGAGTAGTTGCTGTTTAGCCTAAAACAGCATTTAGAAATAGAAATATATTTTAAAGTTTCATTGTCACGCTTGTTAAAGGTACGTCTGATTGGGAAATTGGAAGAAAAGTGTGGAAATTTAATAGTAATTCGTCCTGTTACATGCAACGAACGAGCATTAGATTCTTTTTGTCACAATTCCTTTCGAATTAACGGAATTGTTCAAGTTTAATATTGTTCTTAAATCATATAATTTCTTTTCACTACTTAAATTGAACTAGCAGGTTAACCCGGCTTTTCTCGAGATTGATAATTCCAGATATTTCAGAATCCAAAAATCCCGCTTCATTTTCAACTCGTATTTTCTCTATTTCAACGGCTATTGAAATAGTTTTCAAACTAAAGTATATTGAAATACAAAATGACCCGCAGTAAATTTGAATTAAATCAAATATTAAATTTGCCAACAAAATTTTGTCATTAAGTTCTTCTAACTAAGTTTAGTTTCAATTCTTCAATCCAGTAATCCAGCCAGCGTTTTCTGATGCGTCATTATTCCACAGCTTCTGCTTAGAAATTTAATTGTACTCATTTAAGTTATGCAACTCACACGAACTTATCCTCAAATTACATATTCAAATGCAAGTAATATACGAGTATATTACTTGCATATACTTATATACGAGTTATTACGAGTATATACGAGTATATTATATAATACATGATGCGCAAACGAGTAACCCGGGAATGTCCACAGTGCCAAGCTTCAAACACGCCTACTTGTTTGACTTTCATTAACCTATTTAAAATTGCACCTAATTACTTTATAACTAAATCTGAGTGTTCAAGTGTTTTTGAACACGGTAAGTATCAATTATTGTATTGATAGATACTTACTTATTGCATCAACTAATAATTCCAGTGTTTGTATGAAAAATGCATATTGGGATATTTGACTGCATATACATTTTACAAACTACTTAGCTTGTTGAGATATTAATAGCAGATAAATTATATAGTGATTGTGGTGGTTATAGTGAACGTGTTCTGAATAAAAACCTTGTCTTTCAAATTTTGTAAAATGTAATAATTCTAAAAACAAGAGCCTTACTTTCCTCTTTGAATTCTCAACAGAGGTGAAATGGATGGCATTTATTAAATTTTTTGAAAAATTTATCAGATGTTTGAATGATAATTTTCAACTCACTTTTTTATTTTACCTGGAAGGGCGATTTAGTGAAGGAATTCTGAAGTTTCTAGCTTGATCATACCGAGGAACGCCACGATTGTAGTTTATTAAGCAACAAAATGAACAATTTCAGACCAAGGTTATATCCTGAATGCTTTGTAACGAATTAACGTACAACATTTATAGTTCCTAATCCAGATAATGCCCTGACATACTATCTAGTTCATTAGTTTGTTCATTAAGTTTGGCCAATATTTAAGATAGGCTGTAATTAGAGAGGTTGAATTGTAGAATCTAGGAACGTGCTATTTACACAGCCTTTTCCCAGCTACATGCGTAACATTCACAGACGTTTTTCACATTCATCGCCCCGATTCAGCATTGGTTCATTCTCCGACTTTCATTCACACATTCATTAATAAGATAAGCTTGAACACGCTAAAATTTTCATTCGCAATATATCATTGGCCCATTCACCGACTTTCATTCACACATTCATTAATTTCATTCACAATTCAGCATTGAGCCATTGACCCATTCTCCTACTTTCAGTCACACGTTCATTGATAAGACAAGCTAAGAACCGCCACAAAATTCGGCCTTGGTCCCGAAAGAACCACGCGTCACCTTGCCGACATCATGCAGGTCCTGCACTTTTATTTCTCTATTTCAACGGCTATTGAAATAGTTTTCAAACTAAATACATTATACTTAGCTTGTTGGGACATTAATAGGAGTTAAATTCTATAGTGATTGTGGTGGAATCGCGAAGCGTCGTAAGACGTGTTCTGAATAAAAACCTTCGCTTTCAAATTCTTTAGAATTTAATAATTCTAAAAACAAGAGCCTTATCCTTCCTTTTTTAATTTTCAACAGAGGTAAAATGGATGACATTTCTTAAATATATTTGAAAAAGTCTCAGATAATATATAGATAATATATATATAATATAGTTCCTAATCCAGATAATACCCTGACGTACTACCTACTTTATCAGTTTGTTCATTAAGTTTGGCCAATATTTAGGACAGGCTGTAATTAGAGAGGTTAAATTGAAGAATCTAAGAACGTGGTATTTTACACAGCCTTCTCCCAGCTACTAGTGTGACATTCACAGACTTTTTTCGCATTTATCAACTTCTTTCACGTTCATTGATAAGACATGCTTGAACCCGCTAAAAATTTCATGCCACAATTTAGCATTGGCTTTCATTTATACGTTCATTGAACGTGAAAATATACAAGTAATATCCCGACACGATACGCACACGAGTAACCCAAAAATGTCCAGTGTTAAACTTCAAACTCGCCTACAGCAGACTTTTATTAACCTATTTCAGATTATTACTAGATTATTAAGAAGATTATACTACTTATAATAGATTATTATTATAAGACACGCTTAAAACCGCCACAAATTTCGGCCACGCGTGCCACACGCGTCACCTTGCCGACATCCTGGAGGTCCTGCACTTTTATTCACACTTTCATTGATTATACACGCTCAAAACGCCACAAATTTCAGCCTTGGTCCCACAAGAACCACGCGAGCCACACACGTCACCTTGCCGACATCCTGCAGGTCTTGTAGCTGACGCAGCTGAGCGAGCGTGTGGTGGCGCAGCGCCTCGTGCAGCGGCGTGTCTCCGTCCTTGTCGGATAAGTTCAGCTTAGCGCCCTCGCGCACAAGCAACTGCAATACATTATTAATAAACTACGAAGCTTTACGCATTATAACTTAATAATTATACGCTTTATAACTACACTTTGATTATTTGGCGCCCTCGCGCACAAGCTACTGGAATACATTATTAATTAACTACGACGCTTTACGCTTTATAACTTTGTAATAATACGCTTGATAACTACAATTTAATAGTTTGGCGCCATTGCGCGCGCAACAACAACTGAAATACATTACATTCTTAACAAAAATATTCAAACAGTATATTATTGCACGCTTGATAACTACACTTTAATAGTTTGGCGCCACTGTGGGCGCAATGGCAACTGTAATACATTATTAATTAAGTGAGATATTCATACAGTAAATTATTTTACGCTTGATAACCAGACTTTGATAATTTGGCGCCATTGCGCACGCAACAGCAACTGAAAGGCATTACATTATCATTAAAATTATTACCACATGAAATCAGTATATTATTGCACTAGTAATAACCACAATTTATCAGTGTGGTGCCTTTGCGCACCAGCATCTAAAACTAATTCGACGTATTAATCATGCCATTGAACCAGCACATCATATCAATTCTAATAACTAAAATTTAGCACCAGTGTTTAAAACATGTACTCATTATAGGTACTAAATATTTTTATTTTTGCTGAAAGATACATAACCCACCGTAATGGCACATGAGTGCAGTTACCACCAATGTTAAAATGAATTTTAATGTGAATTAATTTAATATTAAGTTCCACAAATTAAATTCGGTTCGGTTGCACTGATTATGATAAAAACATAATTTTAGGCCTTAGCGATGCTATCTCAATGACGTTGCATCCTGTAACAAGCCAAGGAAACTGTTGATTAAGTGTTAAATGTTAAAAAATACTGTGCATTTTTATAACAAGTATATCATTTGAAAGTTCAGGAAATATCTCAAAGAACGAATTTAATTGGCAGTAGTAGGGTCTTCGATTTCTACAAGAATTAATACATCAAGTTGAATAATTATTAGTGGCATGTAGAGGCCGTGCAGTATTTTAGTTGAATTGTTGAGCATTAACCCTCTACTGCCTGACACGAGTAACCGGAGCAATATTATCACGCGCCTACTTCGCAAAAAGGATACGTTCTAGTGAGCGCAAAATGACTTGCACTGATGGTTGCCGCCACGTACGACAACATTAAAATGTTCTCTGTTGCGTACAAACGTCCTCAGGTTGCTAACAATAGTTTACGTATAATTGTATGTACCCGGAGAGTGACATACAGCGGTAGAGGGTTAACTTTAAAGTTATGTTCCCGGAGAGTGACATACTGCGGTAGAGGGTTAACTTTAAAGTTATGTTCCCGGAGAGTGACATACGGCGGTAGAGGGTTAACTTTAAAGTTATGTTCCCGGAGAGTGACATACGGCGGTAGA